GCTTGATACCCGTAACCTACCCCCCCTTGTTCATATGACTAAGACTTGCCCCCTTGTTCGTATTACTAAGTCTTATGTACAATGAATGATCCTAAACTATATTGCTCTGATACCAACTATGATGTCTCGTTCTCATATTCTCGAGAACAGTCGCCAATCAATCCCACCAAAACATGCAACCCGAAAATTTCATTTAAATGTAACGGACTACATTTAGTAACTCTTTACTTGAACTAAATTACAAATGTAATTTACAGATACACATGAGACAATGGAGATAAGAAAATTAAACTTAAACTATTGTAACCCTTACAAAATAAATTCAAACCCAAGGCTGAAGGGCTTTTGTCACGCCTTCACTGGCTGTTGACTTTATCAGGGTTCCCTAACTTGAAAGGAAAATATGAATTGTGGTGAGTTCCAAGTAACTTAATAAGAAACACAGTACTAACAGGCCACAATAATGTTTTGAAATTTATTTTAATGTTTTTCAATGAAAACCCTTTATAAATGCAATTTGGGTTTTTTATGAAAGCTTTTTCATCAATAAAATAATAACAATCAATCAATCAATCAATCAATCCATCAGTCGATCCCTATCCTAAAATCCCTACTCTACAATCGATAACATGCAATTCCTGATATCATACATGTTCTTGTCTTTTGGTCCCCAACTCTCCATGCAATTACACACCCAATCAATCACATGCAAGCTCTACACACACACCTAGACTAACTCTGACAAATAACTCTGACTCGGTGACTCTTATTCTTTATTAAGTATTTTATATTTAATCTTCAATTAAGTTCACATTGCCAATCCTACGTGTGCAGCTGCTTAACATCTATTTATAAAAAGGATAATACAGACACCACTATCTATGAATGGGTACACTAATAGCAATCAATAACAATTTATATATATTACCCGTAACGGCATGCAATCACTCTTTCTCTCCGGGTGCCATCCCACAGTCACTCTGGTCTTAATGATCCACACCCTTGAGCCCCAAAATGTGAATCCCAATCAAGTTCAGCCTTTTCTCCCAGAAACATTGAACTGTTCCACGTAGTGGAACCAATAACTTGTTGCACCCATAGTATAGTAGCTCTTCAAAGTCAATCAATATAAAACAATCAATTGGGGTCCCTCCCGAAAATCAGATAAACTGAATTTGATTAGATTGCTTGGTGGAGTTAAGTTTTATTAGACTCTTGACTTATTTCCTTTTTAGACACAACACTCTAACTATCCTAAACCTAATCATTCCTAACTTTATTATATTTTCCCCCATTTCCCTTCTTATGTACTTCCATAACCTTACCTATCCCTTTTACTATTTAACTAACTAAATTGTAAACATGCATTACATTATAATTAATTCATACATTAAACAAGCATACGCAAGAAAAATGCCTTTTTAAGTAATCATTTTACAGGTTTTTAACCTACTTTATTTAATTTCTGTATTATTACATTTTTAGACCTATTTTAATCCCATTCTAATTCTCCTATTTAGATGTACCAATATTAATTGTTTTAGTTACTCAATTTATTTATTTTATTTTCATTTACTTTTTCCTAAATTAGGTTATTTACATTTTATTTTAACCAATTCATCCTTAATTTACTAAACTTTCATTTTTCTCTCATGTGATGATTTAATCCAAAGCCTAAAAACATCAAAACATATTAGCAAGCATCAATTAACAGAAATCAACCAAGAAAACATTCATTAATTTCTAAAAAATTTCATGCACACACACAAACTTCTACATTTAGTTAAAACAACACTTTTTACTATTTTTGTAAAGAATTCACTTTCTAAATACATCTAGAAATGACATTAAAATTATTCAAAAAAATACATTTGTTCTTACCTCAACCGTAGCGCGGTATCGTACTAAATTCAAAAATTTAGCCCCAATTATTTTCTCCATTTCAATTTCTAAATTTAAGTAAAATTTTAAATTATTTTATATGTACATTTATTCTTCAAATAATACTCTTTTGATTGATATTCGAACATTAATTCTAAAATTAAAACTATATAATTTACAAAAATTTAAAATTATACCTCCATGGTTGGTCTGATTTAATCTTATTTTCTTTACTATTTGACCCACAATTCCTTCATTCATTCTTTCTTATTATTATTATTTTTTTGCCAAAATATCCCTAAAAAATCTCTTGGGTAATTTTCTCAAGATTTTCTTCTCTCAAATAATATTTTCTTAATGCTTTTTTCTCTTCTTCTTTTCTTTTCTTCTCTTCATCTTTTGCTAAATGATTCCTATTCTTATAGGGAAGAAGAACTCACAGGAAATGGACAAGTGGCAGGCATGGTGGAAGCATTTCCACCATGTTTTCTTAAGCGCCCTTCCACTTCCATCACCGTTTTCTAATTTTCCCACAGCTCCTCATTCCTTAATTCATGACTCATCTCATTTTTCTCCTCTGTTGCAACCTCACATCAAAATCAAAATCCACTCACACACTGCTTTTTTTTTCCTCCACAAGTGAAGGCCTTCATCGCCACTCAAAATCCTTCCTAATTTCACGTTTTTCCTCTTCTTAATTTGCTCCAAAAATCGTTCGGGTTTAACGCCCATATATATATATATATATATATTTATCATGACCCTTAAATCTAAAACCCCCACACCTCGTACTCCACTTTCTTCTTTATTTTCTCATAACCACTATTTCTTTTAATCGATTCAGTTGTGTTCAGCTACATATATAATTATATGCGTGTGTAAGTACATTTGTATAATTTGAGCATAATCATCCAAAGCAATGACACCTCATGCTTGTTAATATCTCTTTATTTTTGTTTTCCTATTTATACCCTTTATCATGCCTTTCTACATACATTCACATGCTTAATACCCTTATCATGCACGAATAGAGACACCGAATAATTTCAGGATATTAACACTATCTCCCCAACTATCCATCTCAAGCTCAAAAAATTCCTCTGCATCCATCACCAACCCCACACCTCGCCCCACCATCCCCACCTCTTGAAGTGAGGATGCTGTCGAAAGAGCTTCAAACTCTCCCGACATTAGTTGCAAAAAACAAAAAGCCAAATTCATAAACTCACCTTCGGCTCTCAAGTTCTTAATGCATCCTATTGATTTGGCCATCTGCGTTCTCTGATATCCTCCCTGCTTCGAATAATCTTCAGAAACTAGGTCATGGGTTAATTTTTGACCTCGAGATAAGATATTCTCCCTTTTTTCCGCTTCTCTCCTCCTCCACACCAGGCCAAAGACTACTTTTTTTTCCACCCCCGAATCGATTGTGTTTCGCTCCCTCTAAGAGATACCATTTTGAATTTGAGTAGACCCGGGTTTAGTAGCAGGTTTGGATCTCATTCTCTCCACCCGAATAACAGCTCTCTCTAGTTGCGTTAGGGGTTCGGCGTGCAAGATGCAATCAATCGGCTCCAATCGCAGTCCCAGCTCCATTATGCATCCCGGACATTGAATTCTTAGTGGCAATACATTGGACTAGATAGAAAGCCTTGCACTTTTTAATCAAATATTTCTTTTTCGTAACCCATTGCGGAGGCACCAACTTGATGCTAAACACCTCGTGGATCGCCTCCATCATCTATACTAGTTGTCCGCCTTATGCCCCTCTAGTAGGAAAATCCTATTCATCCTCTCCCTCAGCCCCTCCTTCCCTTCAGAAAGCACCAATAAGTGCCCTCTCCTATTGCTGCTACTCAGCGCCATCCACAACGTCCTCCAGCTACTACTTTAAATCCTCCCCCACGCGACCTCCCCCGTCTCCCATCTAAATTCTCAGAAACATTGTATCGACCACTCCACATCCTATTTGTGAAAAAAATGATTGATTTCTGAAATCCCTAACCATTCTCAAAGACCCTTATCCCCTTTCCTTCCCTTACAATGTGAAAAGTTTTTTGTTCGACGGACAAAAATCTCCTTAACCCAACGACCATGACTCGAATTTTGTGATGACGCCGGTGGAAGACCACGACGCTGAGACGCTCACTTGCTCGCTCGACGGAAAAAATCTCCTTAAACCCTCAAGTTTTAAGATGAAATGCCATAATGGGGAGTTAAAAGAGCCTGTAATGAAATTGGAATTTTAAAAAGAAAGCTTTGATTCGTGTTTAGTCGACTGGATCCTCAGAACCTCCAATATTAAAGCCCACTCATGAAATAAGCCTCAATTGCTGTGTAAAAGAAGTAGTTCTTATTGAACAAATTGATTATCTACTTCAATATTTATAATTTATGCATCCTTACGTATTTCATAAAAGAAGATAATGTGCCACTAGCTCATGAGGTATATAATAAGATAGACTTGAATATTATTATAGTTAGTTTTTAAATTAAATAGATTAAATTATTAGATTATGTCTCACACATATACCTTTATTAATATAGTAATATTAACTTAATCTAATCATTTTATTCATTCATATATATTTAATATAATGTATATAAATATATAAAGAAAAAGAATATATATATATATATATATATACATATAAAGAGAACTTGTTACTTATATGCAAAGGACTACATTACATAAAATATCTTGTTAAGTAGAAAAATTGCATGAAAAACTAAAATAGTTTTGTTCCGTATCCCTAATTTTTAGTTATAATTTAATCTCTTACATTTTAAATTTGCTTTTTTATAAAAAAAATTAAAATAATTACATCATATTTAAATACTTTAAATTAAACTAATTTATTCTTTTAAACTATTTTTTAAATATTTAAATATGATGTAATTATTTTAATATTTTAATAAGAAATTAAAATTTGAATATTTTAATAAGAAATTAAAATTTGAATATTTTAAATAAATAAAAAACATCAAATAGTAAAAAAAAAAAATATTAAAAATTAAATTGTAACAAATTACAAATTTTGAATATTAATTTAATAATTTGTATATATCAAAATAAAATAATATAAGAACAAAAATATTTATTCCAACCTTACAGAAACCCTAGCACGCAGGACTTCATCTATATACAAACTTGTGCCGCCGTTCCCTGCCTCCAGAGAGAGTGGAGTTGAGAAAATAACGAAAATGGTGTCCGGATCGGGGATCTGCGCAAAGCGGGTGGTGGTGGACGCGAGGCACCACATGCTTGGCCGGCTGGCATCGATCATCGCTAAGGAGCTCTTGAACGGGCAGAAAGTCGTCGTGGTGAGATGCGAGGAGATATGCATGTCGGGAGGGCTTGTCCGCCAGAAGATGAAGTACATGAGGTTTCTCCGCAAGCGCATGAACACCAAACCCTCTCATGGCCCCATTCACTTCCGCTCCCCCGCCAAGATCTTCTGGCGCACCGTCCGTGGGTTTGTCTCTTCATATCCCCGAAATTCCATTTTACCTATTTTACATCTTTTGGTTGATTTTGGTTCATTCGGTTGATTAAGTACCGTGGGCTATTGAACAACGATTGACTGGATATTTTTGACCTATTAGGCAAATCTGCATTGGTTTGTGCTTCAATAATTATCATATAGGAAATCGTGTTTGATCTTTTTTTTTTTGTGTTGTTTCGTTTATTTACAAATATCGTGTTTTTTATACATTACCTCTATTTTTTTGATTGAGTAACCGTTTCACAAATCTCTGGTTTATAAAACTTTAGCTAATCTGAGTTAGGATGTTTTATTAACTGGTGAGTTAGCGTTATTATCTTTATAGCAATTAGTTGATAATGGGAACACTAGTTTAGGATTCAACTTAATTTAGTAAGGGAATTTTTGCATCTAAGAGAGCTGTCGTGTATTACTTGCTATAGAATGATCCCGCACAAGACAAAGCGTGGAGCTGCTGCTCTTGCACGATTGAAGTCCTATGAGGGCATTCCTCCTCCATATGACAAGATGAAGAGGATGGTCATCCCTGATGCTCTTAAGTGAGTTTTTCCATACGTGGTCCCTTTGCTATATTGGGATTTTCTTATTTTTATTCGGCTAAAGAATTCTTCCCCTGTAATATAGGGTATTGAGGCTTCAGAAGGGACACAAGTACTGCCTGTTGGGTCGCCTCTCATCTGAGGTTGGATGGAACCACTATGAGACCATCAGGGTGAGTTCCCCTTCTTTTGTCTGTTATTCCATGCTTAATTTTCTTGCTAATTTGCTTTCGTGAAGGTTATTGTTCTACAGTATGATTCTGTCCATTCCTACTTTTTGTATAAAAGCATCTTCCTTATTTTGATTTCTTTTTACTAGCATGCAAAAGTTAATTTCTTTATCTTGTTTACAATCGTTCACTGGGTCAATCCTGATTCTTCCTAAATCTGACAGAATCCCTTAGATATAGCAATTTTTACGTGTTAGACTGATGTAGTGCAGCTTTATGACCAATTATCATCTCTTATCAAAGACTTCAAAAGATGCTTTACAAATCTTGCATCCCTCCCATTGTTGCTTCTTGCTGGTGTAACTCTCTTAATTTGAAGTGGATTTTGTTAATGTTTCCGAAGCATTAATAAATTTGACCAGCATTAAACAGCGCCATGCTATTCTCTGTTGTTGCACTGTGCTAGCTGTCTTCTGGTACATCCATTTCTTTGATTCCTTAATAATCTCGTTATATGAAATGGACTACTATGTTTATACTCATCAAAATGTACAAATTAGGATAATACTCGTATTATATACACAGCACGGTGAGTTTCTAGTAACTATATTAGGTTGTCGAATGAATTGTCTACCTAGCAGTTTAGTAAAGATGAGTTTGATCTCTCTGATATTATGTCAGAATATTGGCTTGAGTTATAGAATAATGTTTCTTGAGTTTATGTTATATTAGATTCTGATTACTTGTCTAAAATGAGTTAATTCATTAGGGGTTTTCATGTGATATTTTAATAATAAACAAGATTGCATCCTATATAGCTTGAAATTCATGTAATTTTATGCCTTCCATTCACTCTCTTGTGTGCAGGAGCTTGAGAAGAAGAGGAAGGAGAGGTCTCAAGTGGTCTATGAGAGGAAGAAGCAGTTGGTGAAACTTAGGTTGAAGGCTGAGAAGGCCGCAGAGGAGAAGCTTGGCTCACAACTGGACATTCTTGCCGCCGTTAAGTACTGATATCTGTTTGGTCAGTAGGTAGCCAGTTTACAGTTTAGAGGCTTGTCTTTGATGAAAGTTCCCAATTTTTTTTAGACTATAGAGCTGAAAATTTACTAAGACAAGAGTTGTTATCTGGTTTTGATAAATTTGAGATAAATACTGTTTTTCTGCCTGCCATATTTTCTCGTTCTCAAGATTGTTTGTTGAGTGTTTGTGTAGCAGAACGTCTCTGTTGAATTATGGTATGAAATTGCTAATTGGTCCTAAATGATTAAGCAACCAATCATAAAAGCCTAAATGGGTTTTAAGAAAAAAACAGGTAATTTAACTTCTAAAAGTTTGCTATAGGGAATTCAGAATTCTCTATTACAAGTAGGTTTGTGATGTAACATAGGGTTGTAAGCAAAGGTTTGGACATTGGTAGTAATCTGTTTTTTGTGTTCGTTAGATGTATATTTTTTAAGTGGCATACATTGTTAGACATGATTTTTACAAGCCAAGTAGAAGTTATTTCAAACACAGAAAACTAAGATTAAACAAATAAGAAATGAAAACAAAAGGATAATAATCTAGAACTAACAATTCAACTTAAATAAATAACAAAATCTATACCAAAAAAAAGTTGCAGAGTATAGATTTTAATAAAATAAAATATGAATAACATAAATTTTGTAGTAATATATCCATTTATTAATTAGTAGAAACTTATTCAGTATCAGTCCATAACTGGGATTGTTAAAATATTTTTCAATTTGAATTCACCATCTTCAAATCGTTATAACAAGACCAGACCAAAATGATACAGATGAAAACTTTATTGCTTGAGTTTTTATGTAATTTTTTTTTGACTAACCGTAGATTACTTTCAAGAAACCTTTCAAACAAGATGATTTTGGTAGCTGTAGTGGTGGTGGGAGAAGATACGTATGAGAAATTATCTACAAAGCAGAGAAGAGAAAGTATAGGGTGTAGAAGTTTTTTCTTCACAGATTTTTTTTTTTTTTTTCAGTGCACAGATGGTTGGATAATATGATATACACAACTTTAGCGCTATAAATAGCGATACATACAACTTTTGTACTGATCTAAAAATAATAAAATGACTATGAACATGGGGGTGTTGACTACTCAGGACTTGTTTTGTGGGGTGACAACATCAAACAAAAGCAAGGAGGAGGCCAGAATCACTTATCACCGGAATCATATTACAAGATTTGTTATTATGATTTTTGATCCTTATAATCTTGTCTTAACATATATTTATCGCTTGAATTAATACAAACTGTTTCATACGTAATCTCCAAATGATTTGTATCAATAAACTAGAGGCTAATGATTATACACTTTAAAAAAAAAAACTTATCTTAATGCTATCCAACAAATTATTTTCGTTTTGGAATTTGCAACATAATTCGTCATATAGTTTATCGTCACAAAAAATTCCATCAAATTTATCAACAAAATTATTGTGATGTTTTATTAGTTATTGAGATTGTTACAAATTTTTTAAGTAAATTATCTCGTGATAAATCTATAGCAAATTAAAATTGTTGATATCTTTGTTGTTGAATCCATCATTAAATTAGAAAAACTTAAAGATTTAATTTGGTATTAATGTGTGTGTGTGTGTATATATATATATAAGAAATTTAGTAGATATTATTATGAAATATTTATACTGATTAACTAATTATTTTTCAAAATTAATTATTTATTTTAATGTAATTCTTAATTATTTATTAATATATGTTCCTACAATTGATGACTAATATTTGAAATTTACGTTCCTAGCACGTGTAGGTTTTGTGGTCATCCCTATTATTATTATATGCATCGAATGTTTGGTAATGATTATATATTTTTATTTTTAAACTTTATAATGATTTTGATTTTTATTAGTTGGTATGAATGTTATATTCATTAGGTATGCTCTTTACTATATAGTTTTGTTGTAATTCTTTGCGTATTTTAAATTTTATAATAGAATTGGGATTTTAATTATATATATATATATATATATATATATTTTTTAAATTTCTCTCTTTCGAATAAAATTAAAGTGGAATAGAAGAGTACTCATTTTGGGATGAACAATTATTTAGAGCTTTTAACAATTATACACTCTGCACATGGCTGCTCCACTTTTAACATGTTCTTTTTTATTCTCTCATACTAAGAGAAATATTTTTCAATGTTCTAAACCTTCACATTAAATATATATTTATTTTTATTATTATAAGTGTTATTATTATGTTATTTAAAAAAAGGAAAAAAAGAGAAATGTTTAATTAACTCAATTAAGTAAATTATATATAATCATTATTAGCATTTACAATTATAATGTTTAAGAAGTGAAAAAGACTCCATTCCTTTAAAATGTTACCAATGCAAATTGACCAGCTCCTGCTCCTCTGTCTGAAAAAACAGAAATTGCTTGCTAATGTTATTGAAGGTGAATGGTTAAAATATATATATATATATATATATATATTAAAAGGGTCAAAGAAATTGGGTGAATAATTCAATGTAAAGTATATATATATATATATATATATATATATATGTAATGGATGTACACCACGCATAAACCATTCATTTATGTCTTTTGAGTTTTTTAAGTTATCATAACACTTCAAATATATTTATATGTAGCATCACAACTTAACTCATCTTTTAACTCTTTTTCTAATTTTGATCAGTTTTCTTTTTTCTTTTTTTTTTCTTTAACCTAAATAATGATTCAACATGAGAAGGACAATATATATATATATATATATATATATATTGATGTACAAAAATTACATTTCTTTTTAGAGCCCAATGAAAGAAGGACAAGAGACTCAATATATCAATACATATATACGCAGAGCATGTATATATATATATATATATATATATTAAAAGAAAGATAAAAATTTAATTTATACAATCTTGAAACTCTCTATCTAGGATCCAGAGAGGAAAAATTGCAGTGAATGAAATGATCATCCAGAGAGTGATCAGACACATATATAATGAATAAATCATCTACAATGCATGCTGATGAGAGAAGATCGCCTGCTGAATAGATTTAAAAGCTTTCTTGTAATTCAAGAAGCCCATGAACCAGAAGTCAAAATCATCCACTGTTATAATCTGCATGTACTTCTGAGATGGTTTCTTTGTGTTCTCGCTCTGGTTAACTCTCTTTATCTTCCTTAGAGGAATCATCACCTTGTAATGAAGTCTGAGTAATTCTCCATTTGGAGAAGTGATCTTGATCGATCTCTCGCTGCAAAACGCGACCTTTTCTGTGGAAATGAAGAGGAGACCAGCAATTGGACCTGCTGTTGTGTATAAATAACATTGACTTGCCTTCAATAATTTTTCTCCATCTTTTACATTGAATAGCTGCTTGTAGATTTTCTCAACTCCACCCATTTGGAGAATTCTAGCTCCTAAACTCAATTTTCCTTTCACTGTTTCGCTTATCTTTGGCGCCAGTCTCACTGCATCAAGTTAATCAATTCATTAGATTATGATTACTTATTAATAATCTATTAAGATTTTGATCACATCACATAAAAGGAAATTGATTAAGGAAAACGAAAGAGGTCTGCATACCATGTTCTCGGATTCCATGAGCAAAATTGTCTGCTTTCTTTCCCAACTTGTTCACTCTTTTAAACACCGACTCTACTTTCCCTGCAGTCCCATCCATAACCTTGTTAGTCTTAATTTCATCAACGAAATTATTAATTAATTCCACTATCTCTACTTATATATTCTCAAAAAAATATGCTAATTACCTTTCTTAAATGTATTTGCAGAAGATTGAAGATGGTACTGACAAGTAGCAGATCCACTTAGATACCGTCTTGGCGTCTTCTCTACCAAGTAAGCTGGTGAGATGATTGGAATTCCAATAACCTGTTTCCCCTCGAGCATCATCTTTGAAGAATCCATTGATATATATATATATATATATATCTCTATGAAGGTTTTGACGGAATTCACAACTGGGTGATTGCAGAATGCCTTGGTTTGCATGCACTAGTGAGAAAGATCAGATGGTGATGAATACCTCCTCCAAATCAGTGTGTGTACATATATACATATCAAAGGAAAGAAATGGTAGTTGGGTCTTCATCAACTTTTTGCCTCATGACTCATCTGTGCCTCATCAACAAGATAAATAAAAAGGTCCCCACTGCGGGGTCTAAAATTTTTCAAAGGAAATTAATTGAAAAAGATAGTTGGCTATTGTGATGCTCTACTAGTACATTGATTGTCTATATGTTTGGTTGCTTTTAGGAAAGATGGTATAATATATTATATTTATAGTTTTAGGTACAAGAATCTCTAAAAGAAAGAATATATTACAAGGTCAATAACTAAATCCTTGTTTTGCAAGATTTCAGGAAATTGGCTCTTGGGTGAATCATAAATTAATTGGGTTATAATCTAATTGTAGAAAAATGTGTGTGTGTGTGTGTGTGTGTGTGTATATATATATATATATATATATATATAAATTCTTGAAAAAAGAATAGGGAGAATAAAAATTAAAGGTAGGTAGATTAAAAATTGATGAGACAATCCCATTAGGCAGCAACAGGAATGAGTCTTATTTTTGTGATAGAATGAGTTAGTGAGGATGTGGCATCAAGGCTTTATGAGTTGGCGATATAGCTTTGTGATGTAAGCCATGTCTTTAATTTACTTAGATAAGAAATTTAAAGCAAAGAGAAATCTATTTGCAAAATGACGTGTTACATCATACCAATTTGCATGCAATTAAAAAGACGTGATAAAAAGTAGGAAGTTTATGACTTGATTTTGCACACACACACACACATATATATATATATAATATGTCATCCATGTGACCCTCACGCTAGCCTGCCAAACTAAATACTGAGCCTTCTTCATCATCATGCCCAATATGTCTTATCTCTATACAGTCGGCTATTTGAATAATATTTTTATATATAATTATGTATTTATTTGTATACGTATGTATCAACTTTTTATCTTCTAGGATCATGACGAATTTTTTCTTTTTATGTTTTTAAGTAACATGTTTTCTTTCTGAGACGGAAAACATCTGATTTCAAGAACTTTTTTCTTTATATGCATATTTATTTATTTTCTTGTCTCTTATTCCCTTTTGCTTGATTAGTGAGATGGGCAATTGTTGTTAAAACAAGAATTT